AGATCCCTTCCCTGTCCCTGCTGGCCACGCTATTGCTGACACAAGCCAGGATGCCATTGGCCTTCTTGGCCACCTGGGCACGCTGCTGGCTCCTGTTCAGCCAGCTGTCAATCACACCCCCAGGTCCCTCTCTGACTGGCAGCTCTCCAGCCACTCCTCCCCAAGCCTGTAGCGCTGCTGGGGGTTGTTGTGGCCCAAGGGCAGCCCCCGGCATTTGGCCTTATTGAAACTCCTCCAGTTAATGGAAAGGAACATCTATGTTTTAATCCACAAGCTTCTATGAACAGTTAGAACAAGCAACAAGACAGACTACAATTTGCAATGATTAGTTAGCAATTAGCATGGGATCAGTCGCAATAACCTATTACTGTAAGGAATGTACTATTTCAAATATATATTTTTTTAACTCATCTTTATCTGGCTGTTCTTAAATTGAGTAATCCTGTAGGCTTAGCATCATCTCTCATCATTATCACAGCTTCTCCCGTGTGACTTCCAAGTCAGTGGCTGTGTATGACAGCACTGCTTCATGTTGCAGGGTGACATAAAGAACTGGTGCTTCCAGAACTGTCTCTTAGTCTGAGTGATGGTGTGCTGAAACTGAGTTCCAGGGAAGTGCCTGTAGAGAGGTCCATCCTTCCTGAATCATGAATAAGTCTAAAGGAAATTCCCCTTCTGATCCATCTGAGCTTCCAGGAAAGCTCCCACCTCTTCTGCTATCAAGAAGGCCTGTTCCTACCTGAGGAAGTTTAGTCAATTGAGCAGTTCCCTGTAACCAGCCACAGTGCAGTGTGGGTGCCCTGCAAGAGGGCAGAAACAGCAGCTGTACTGCTAGAGGGTTTCCCCTCTGGGTACAGCCTCCAAATGCTGCTGATCCTGGGAGAGTAGCACAAGGCTTTACATCCTTTCACTAGGAGATGCTTCCTAATTTGGAACCAGGTTCTTGAATATTTAACCAAAACAGTGTAAAGCAGAGCCCACCACCTCCTCCTGAAAGGTGCCGTAAGAGCTTAAGTGGCACCTCTATACCTGTGCATGCCGGACACAACAGGAATGCAAATACTGCAGATTGCGTCAGCTTTCGCAACGCATGCGCAGTATAGCTTTTGCCTGCTGGAAAGTCACTTGTCCCAGCTAATGTCCCATTTGTGTGTTACTGTCTCTTCACTGCTAATTCACCCTGCGTCTTTCGTGGCAGCTCAGCCTGTCTT